AACAGTTTAAAACTAATTAGATTAGTAATACTTACTTAAAACACTGTTGATGTTAAATATAATATTACGAGACACCTTGGTTTTCCTAGCCTGCTAACTAACTGCAAATTTTTCTGTAAAGAATTTCAAAGTTTGGCTCTGTTTTGGCAGCCGGCTTCGAAAAACCAAAGTAGTTCATGTAGAATTAAATTTTATCTAGAGTGCTGATTTTATTTATCTGGACAAATTGAAAAATATTTGAAAACTTTAGTGTAACGTGTTTTTCTCAAATTGGGTGAGAACCAAAGTTGTTTAGAGTTTTACCGGAATTCTTACGGTGCATTTTTTGCGAATTTGGGGACAAAACGTTTACCCCTAAAGTGGATAATTTTGGCTTTAGTTTTCGAAGTGTATAGTTTGCGCAAAACGCTCAAAATTTGTTTTCAAGAAAAGAAGTATTTATTTAGTAAAATTGACATTTTTTGGCTATCAGACGAAAATACATTTATTTATACAGATTTCTTGAGGTTATACTTTTCTAAAACTTTGTTGGGCTGTATGAGAGGCTGACTTTGATATAACTTGATCATCAATTGACTCATTAGATTAAGCGTAAGTTTTGATTGGCTGAAAAAAGCCGAAGTGTGAAATTCTAAGCAACTTTGCTTATCATTTTTTGTCTAATCTCAAACCAATTTGAGAAAAACGCGTTTAAATTTTCAACGTTTGTTCATTTTTTCTAGATAACTTAAACAGCGTTGTATAAAACGGAGGCTCTGTTTCATCTGTTAAAATGGTTTTTGGAGTTGCGCCATGTAGAAGACATATATAGCATCATAACGAAGGACCTTGATCGGAAAATGAGTGTGCAGACGAAGTTATGCTGTCAAAGTTTTATTTGGTCAATACTTAGCCTTGTAAAACCATTGATTACCCAAAAAAATATGAAGTGGGAAAGGGGGATGAAAAAGAGTGTTTTTGTATTTTATCTCGGCAAATTTGAAAACCAGTTGAAAAGCACAATTATTGCGTGAAAATGTGTCCCCATGTGCATTTTCTGAAAATTCTCTAAAAACTCTTGTTTCTTACAGGGGCCAAAAGCATCCTTAATAATTTGACAGCTTACCGAGCTATCCCCATGAATTACCCAAGCAAATAGTTGTGTTCAATTTCAGTTAGCTGAGTTCAATTAACGATGATGACTTTATTTACGATTCATCGATATTTTTTTCACTCCATCTCTCATCTTCTGATATTGGTTTTTCGATTACATAATATTGGCTAGTTTTTGTAGTTTTCGGGTTCGAGAGTTATTTTTCTCCTATTATAGACCGTTTTCTTTTCGAGATCTCCAGAAGCCTCGGAACGCCAAAAAAGTTTTTAAATTGTTTGAAAAATCTTTTTTTTTGTTGCATGTTACAGCAGACTTGACTTGTTTTATGGTCAGACAAAAAATCCGAAGTCGTGTAAATCACAAAACCGTAGACGCTTTGAGAACACAATCTTGGGCAGACAGAATAGCATCGACCATTAAATTTACTCGCCATCTTTTTTTCTTGCAGGTGAAAATTTGTTTCATCTTTAATTTCAGATGCTATAATTCATGCAGGTGTAGCAAGCAAGAGTGACTAAACCACCCGAAATTTACGTAATGTGGGTGTTAAATGGTCTGGTTTTAGCGACCGCTATATAATTATTGTATAACTGCTCTTGTTATTTTATTTCGGCTGCTTTATACGCTAGCTGATTTTTACTTCGCCTGGATTATGAAACACCGACACACGCAGGGGCGGATCTAGCATTTTCTCGGGGGGGGGGGGGGGGGGGGGGGGAGGATTTGTAAAAAAAATTTTATCGAACTTTTTTTAGGTCGACCAAATTGATATTTCCGAGCGCTCCCTGACAACTATGAAAACCCTATTTCAACAAAATTTCTTTTGAAAAGAGCGGCCAAAAAGGCCGTTTTGGAAAATTTTAACAAAAAAATGCAATTTTTGAGAACCCCTCAAAACGTATATATTAATGCCTTTAGAAAAATGCCTTTAGAAAACTTTTAGGTTCCCTCGGCGCAGAATGGATGTCGTTAAATAGTAACAAAGGGGGACCATTTTGGTGGTGAAGGTATCGAATCCCCCACCCCAAATCAGGCAACTGCACGCGCGAGCTCAAAAATGCTCTTTTAAAACTTTCCAAATTTAAATTGCATCTCAGTGACATGAAATACAATAGCATAATTTATAACGGAGGGTAATTTTAATTAGAATCAGAGGATGAATTCCCAGAAGACACGAAACTTATTTTCTTGTTCGAGTAGAGTTAGTTTCTTTTCATGTAGGATTGTATCTTTAAACCTTCAGATTGTTAGTGAGAGGAATCCAATTTCACGGTTATTTCTCTGCAGAAGAAAATGGAGATTTTTAAAGAAAATTGTTTCTTTTTTCAAAGCCGCTGGCATCTTCAAGTTAATCCAAGTTACCAACTACTTCCAGCCATTCAATAATAAATTAGCCCGCCTTTGTAGTGTAGAATGGCTGGTGCTTCAATTTCACATATAATCTCCGGCCCATTTTGCTAAGTTTCTAATCCGTCCCTTTACTACCCTCATCTTCTTGTGCCTTCATTCGACCTCAGTCTTACTCTTCTCCTTCATTCCCAGTCTCTGGAGAAATATAATGAAAAGCCCACTTGTAGCAGAACGCATGTCGTGCAAGCTTTCCATAGTGCAACTAAGCCGAAAAGTTCTAGAGTAAACGTAAAATCATCTCGATAAATTTTTTTTCGTTTTTTTTGAACTGGATTAAAAGTTGATTCAGTCGAAGTATCAGAATTAATAACTAAAATTGATGAAAGCAATATTGTTTTCAAAACTTGAAAATTATGCATATTTTTTTTTGTACTGAAATGCATTATTGGCGAATGGTTTCTGCATATTTATGAAATAACTTTTGGTTATTTGCTTCTTCTGGTGGGTGAACTTTTCTTGTAAGCCACATCCTCTTGGACGCTCCAAAGTAAATACGATGCAAAAGTGCGCCACTTGCCAAGCCCACATACCCTCCTAAACTCTCAGAGGGAATAATCGATCTAATATATTTTATCACCTATTTCGCAATTCACAACAATTGAGCTTTTGAAGCCTGTGCTCTTGAAAAAGTGTAGCCTTTTGTTTCGCTCTGTCGCAATTCAAGTGTGCGGAAATTGGACTCTTTGAAGGGATCTTTTTTCTTCGAGCCTCGTGAACCCTGCAGCTATATGTTGTGCATTAATTGAAAATAAAATTCAGAATACGACTGGGCAGTAAAATGGGAGAAAAATTCAATTTACTTATGAAGAAGAAACGCACGTCAAAACTCTCTTCTATAAATGCCTGCGTTGCATGTTTGAAATACTTGTGCGTCACAGTTTGTTTGACAGAGAATTAGTGTTTAGCGGTTCCGTTGCGTTCAATTCGTGGCTGAAGGATTCTTGTGTTGGGTCGTGCCGCTATCCTTGACATAAAATTCCCCTAATGAAGCTCATTAAGATTCATCCACTGTCCAGTCAAATCATATCAGCCGATTCAATGTTGCAGCATCCCTAATGAGCTCCGACCCATTTCCTCTTTATTGTATAATTGTCAGCCATCGCTTCTGTTTTGAAGGAATCCCTTTCAAAATTCCACCCTATTGCGAAAAAATGGGAATTCATTCTAGATTCAATTTGTAATATTCGCTTATGCGTAACCTTGGTGTTAGTCCTTTTTAGGGGAATGTTTGTTATAATTTTTATAGACTTGAAGTTTGATTAGATGTTCTGTTCAATTCGAATACATGTGCGCTTTTGAATTCGTCGTTTTTAGGCAGTTTTGTCAAACACAATTGATTTATGAATAAAAAACTTCGACTAGAGTCAATAATTTTTGAAGTATTGTTGACTTCTTCATATTTTCTATCACATTCTGAATTATTTATAATGTTTATTTTCTTGTTTGTTTCTGCAATCGAGAATTGCAAATAGGAAAAACAGCGGTACGCCTGGTCTAGGAACTGATTATCTCTGTATCCACTTATTATCTCAATATTCAAGTTTTTTGTGGTCTTATTGATTGGTATGCTTGTACCGGCAGGCAAATGAACCAAGCAATCGATCTATATGAAAGCAATAGAGTTTTTCGATTTGAATATCCGCCCACTTGAAAAACTAGTCGGGTAGATTTTGGCACAAGAACCGCGTTGTTCTTTTTTCTAAACTGAATTTGATACGAATTTTTTTTTCGTTAAAAATGATATGTTTTGTCTTAGTAAAGCTGTACTTTTTTAAAGTACTGATGTAACGTGATTACTCAAAAAAGGATTGAGTTTCTAGCAAATGCCTCTATTCTGCGATTAAGTGAGGGAATGATGTCATATCGATTTCGTATTTTAGTAGGAGGGTCTAATTTTAATCCGTTTCAAGCCTTTCAGTTCTGATCTTGTCTGAAGGTGGCGGGGGGGGGGGGGGTGTTGGTGGGGTGTTGAAATTTTGAGTACTGCGGTGTAGTATGTCTTAAAACCCTCTACCCTCTTATAACTCATTTTTACCAAAGTATAATTTTACTCTTTTCTGCCGCTCTGCGATGCACAAATACTCTTTTCTTAAATTTGATCTTTTTATTATATCGGAAAGGGTTTTCTAGGGGTTGTTTTTTGAATTTTCCATTAGTTTTTTAATGTTTTTCTCGGCCCAGAGGAATCACTTACAGGTAATTCGACTACTCTGGTTTTGATGTTTACTTACTCCCACATGTAACTGATAGTGTATCGCCTCGGAAATTATCAATCAGCAAGGAATTTTTCCTGAGGTTGTAATTTATTTTATAGCGCCATCAATCTTTTTTTATCGTTCTGTTCAGAGCGTCAGGATGTCTTAAATTATCACAGACTTTTTCTCTTCTGTGCCATTTTCTTTGTTTCGTTCGTATTCGGCTTTCCGCTTGAAAAGAGCGAATTTCCAAAACAGTGGTTTGGATGCAAAAACAAGAACAAAGGCTTTCTGAGATATAATTGACTTCCCAAATCGTAATTGAATTCATTGATTTTTTGGCAAGTACTCTCCTAAAAGGTTCAAAAGGTAGATTCATCATTTTACCATATTGTGACTCAGTCACTAACTTTTCCGTTTCATTTTTTTGTCTGCGATTCCCAAATTTTGAGTCATTGGCTTGATAATTTATGTGGGTGCGCTTAACTATGTTACATTTGTGATAATTTATGAATACGAAAAATGGATCAGGCGCTGTGCTCCGTTTTCAGATCAACTGCAAATTATATGAAGCAGAGCTAACCGAATTTTCCTTTTTTCAGTCGCGTATCATGTTCATTTCAAACAACTGTATCCCTTATTAGTCATCAGAAGAAGATGGAAAAATGGGCCGGCGACGAACAATTTCTCCACGCCATTATAGATTTATAACCAATTTTCGATTAGTGACTGACACGATTCCAGTAATGACCAATCATGGATCAATTACTTTAACCCATAATTAATCGTCAGTTTATCCGGTTCAGTCAAAACATGGCGGACAAATTCCACCAGAATAACCACAACAGCAACAGCGACAGTTTAAACATGTCAGCAGTTGAGAGCTCAGATTACAGACTGCAGCCGCCGTACAATGCGCTCTCAAACTCAAACAATGTGAACCAAACCGGATCAGTGGCAAACATGGGAGACGAGGAGGCAAAGCTCTTGGAGTGGTGTGCCAGTTGTTGCCAGGGATATCCAGGCGCGGTAGTCGACAACTTTACCTCGTCATGGGCCGATGGACTGTTATTCAATGTCCTCATACATTATCATGACCCGACCTTGTTTGATTACCAAGACGTGTACAGAGAGATGAGTTCGAAAGAGAGAATAAGACACGCGTTCGATATTCTGAATCAGTTGAATATTTTCATGATTATCGGACCAAATGACATTAGCCTTACAGAGCCGGACTCAACAACTGTCATTTTGTATGTGCTCAAACTGTTCCAGGTAAGAAGTGCGCCAAGTGGTTCGGGTACTCATAATTGGGTACATGTAGTACTAAAGCAAGGGTATTGCAATCGGGGTACTAGTCTTTTTCCCGAAAATAAGTTTGTTCACAGAATAGTCAAAATTAGAAATGGTAAATTTAGGTTCAGCTCATAATGAGTTAAGTGATCTTTGCGTCACTGACAGGACCTGCTTATGTTTTGTCGGGTTAGTTGCCACATAGAAGAAGTGTCTTTTTTTGCTGTACGAACTTAGCATTGTAGTTGCTTTTAGTGTTTTAGTTAATTACTGCAAATTGTAATTTTACTAGCCTTGACTTTGTATATTTTTTTCGCTTAAAATTTTTAACCTGCCCAATTTGATTTCGGCTTAAAATTTATCGGCTTAGTGGCCTAATTTTGAATAGTTTCAATAGAAACATAATTTTATGTTCACCTCTGGATCGCACAAATTGTTAAATTTTATTTTTCCCCCTGTTTTCGGGTGGATAGGTTTTGGCTATATTATATCTGTTAATGGCCTCATATTGCGTCTCAAATTTGAGTGTGCGGATATATGTTTCGAACGTGAAGGGACTTCTTAACTTTTTAATTAAAGTCTTGTTGATTTTTTGTCGGCTATTTTCGGTTTTTTACCGCTTGGTAAATTTTCTTCCGATGCTTATTTTACATTTTCTGTCTTGGCATCTTCTTGTTTCAAAATTAGCCTCATTCGTTTTGATAGATCTGGTTTTTCAAATTTGAAAAAAAATCCGACTTTCTTGTTTTGTATCGCAAGCGACTTTCTTGTTTTGTATCGCAAGTGGTGCGAAGCGCAGCTTCGTCTCTGCGTCCTTGTGATAATGATTACACCCCTCGCCCCTCAGAATTTGTTGCTCCTACCACGGAGTGGGGGTGCGGGACTTGTATTTGGTTGTTTTTATACGACATTCGAGGAAAGATCAGTAATGTCATTCGTTTCGTGTGATATCTTATTTTGAAATGCTAGTAGTCATGAGTCGAGCTGTAATGAGATGTTTTTTAAAATTTTCTGAGCGTCGAGAAGAACGTTATGAAAGTTTTCAGTGCTCATCCATATGCATGCATCAGTTTTCCTTTAAAAGGGTAATTGATGTACGTACTCTAAGCTTAGCTTCTCATATTTGCGAGACAAGAGAAAAGGAAAAACCCGAATTTCTGATGTATTTTGGTTACCCAAATCTTTAAAAGCTGTAGAAAAGTTTTTTAAGAAGTCCGCACAGTTTTCAGTATTCTGCTTCAAATTATAACTTCCCCGGGAAATCAATAGCCTTTCAATCCAAATAAAAAACTACCAGTACCATTATATGACATCTTTATGTGGCTGATAGCTCTGAAAAGCAATTCGGTCGATATTGAAAAAAGGAAACAACGTTTTTCGAATATACAGCGAGACCCTTCGAAAAGATCCTAGATTTTCCCTCTGATCCTATTAACTGGCAGTGCAGGTGCATGGAGTGGCTCCCCCAGGAAGAAACCCCAGGATATCATCCCCCATTAGATTTTTTTTTAAATCAGCGTTAAGTTATTGTTACGACCACTGGACGAACGTTTTCTTCTGGAGCTATTTTATTTTATTTTATTCTTAAGTGTCAATGAACTTAGTGTATACGCTAATATAGGTCGTAATCTTTTTTTCAGGAAAATCCTTAAAACTTGATCATGCTTATTTTGATTTTTTGCGGTTTGATTGTTGATTGCTTCAATTCCATTGAAATTCATTTGCTAAATGGGAGTCAAATTTTGCTCTCTAATTGAGAAATCGGAAACGGCGCAACAAACTTGAATAAGTTTTTTGGTTCGAAAGTGGATTTCGATTTTTAGATCGGGCTGCTTTCATACTTCGACACTTTTACAACTGTTTGTTGACTAGTTCTTTTTTTTCTCGCAAAATCAGGTACCACAAATGATCGGAATGGGTCGACTGATATATCATATTAAATCCCTTTCGGTCGGGATTCGAACGAAACTAAAATTTCTCAGTGTCGAAGAACCAGTTTAAATTTTTTTGAAATTTAATCAAATTTCCAACGATTAAAGCGAGCGCGCAGCCAATAGGGCGATAAGCTTTTTCTTACATTTTTTATTTTATTAAAGTTTTTTTATACTATGAGTTAAATACTCCAGTTTTTTTGACGGTTTTGAGTGTTTCTGATTTTTTTGTTTTTCTATTTTTCGGGGAACTCTGTGGTCGATTATTACTAATTTACTCTCACTTTGAAATATGCTCAAGTTCAATGTTAATCAATTCGTCAATTTTTCAGCGGTTATCCTGAAAAATTTTTGCATTTTTACCAAACCATTTGTTTTTACCAAACCATTTACCAGGTCAAAATACCGTTTTTGTGTCTTTTGAATGTTTAAAAATGGATGCCGTAAAACCTTTGGGTGCTGAGTGGTTCGAATCCCTTAACGCGCCTGACTCCCCCCCCCCCCCCCCCCCTGTTATCACCACCCAAATCCTCCCCCTGGATTACTGAAATAGGATCGACTTAAATCATATTGCTGCTTATATGGCTATAATCAGGACTCAAACGTTCATAATTTTTCTTGGATCTTAAGATTTTAATAGATGGCCAAAATAAATAACTATTCGACTATTTTGGCTGTAGGCTTTCGGCTTCGCGAATGAAATTGACGGGGAGGGGAGTCTGACTAAAAAGTCATCTCTCAACTCCGTGTCGGCATCCTCTCAGATATCAGGTTCCAAAAACAACAGCCTTTCAAAGCGGAACAAACAACCAAACAACAGTAATAATTCCTCGTCATCCTACATTCTATCGCACAACTCTGCAGCCGAGTTTCTAACCCCATCCCAAGTACTTGCCAACGTCACGAGAAGTGTAGACGAAACTCTCAGTTGGATCACAGAAGTTCACGACAAACTCGCTTCTATTCACACCGAAATAGAGTCGCTGTCTCAGCTAGCCGACGCAAGGAAGTTGTTCCACTCAACCGAAGACTTCTTCAACGATTTATCATATCAGAATATGGAGATCATTAATCTCATTGCACAAGGTCAGACGTCAATGCCAAAGCTGAACAATGTAGCCGAATCGCGGAACCTCTCAAAGAAGCTACTGACCCTAAAGCGTGACTGGGAAAACGTAAAAAATCGAGCAGCCAAAACCCAAACCGATGTCCAAAGTGCTCTTATGAGCTACGAAAAAGCCGAAATTGATACTATGGGAGATCGAATGACGGTTATAGAAGATCGTATCGACAAAATTACTGCGATTCCTGGAAATTATGAATTAGTCGAAGAGCATATTTCAGAAGTCAGCAGTCTTCAAGACCTTTTGCAGTCATATCAGCCGAAAATCAACGACTTAGGAAGTGCAGTCATTTTAGTAGACGAGGCTGAAAATTATCAGGATTTGGAAGAGGAGCTGAATTTATTAGGGAACAGATGGGCGAAGATCTGTAAGTGGACTGAAGAAAGGTGGGATTTGCTGCAAGTTATTCACCAAAAATGGGATCAATTTTACGAAATGAAAGAAAGCTTTTCACTGTGGCTAAATTCACAAATGTCTTCAGTTGAAGACTTGATTCTGAAATCTTCTAGTGACGATTTGGTATTGACTCAAGCAAAAGAGTATTTCAAACAGTTGAAAGCACTTGAAAACATTATGGAGACAAAACAAGAAGAGTTTGCAGCGTTGGGCGACGTTTCAGCCGAGTTGTGTAAATACAACGAAAACGACGAAAGCTTCGTTGACGTGCAAAATAGCATTATGCATCTCGCTTCTTTATGGGATATTTTAGTCCAAAAAATGGAAGATCTAGGAGATCAGTTGGGAAAAAGTTCGCTTTTCACAACGAAATTAACTGAAGATATAAACGCACGTGATCGAGTGGCTCAAATGACTACAAATATCGTTCTCACTGAAAAAGTTCAGACAAGTTCAACAGTTGAACAGAAGTTGGTGCCCACAGTAAATGTCGATGCTATGAGAAAGTTCTCGGAACGTGCAGTAAAAGTAGCGTATGATCTCGCAGTTAAAGAACTAGAAACTTCATTTAGTTCTTCAGACGCTAAAAACAGCGAACACAGTGCGTGTAATAATGGAGTTTCAGCGGACGAAGAATGCTCATCACGTGCGTCCGTCAGGCACGAGTCAGAATTGGAAGTGAAAGAGAACCCGCTGGAACACTGCTTCTCGCCGACAGCGATGGATCTGAAAGACGTTTGTTGTGAAAGTAACTCCAACATAGCGAATTACGAAACGGTAGAAGACGACTCTCAAAGAAGTTCACTTGACGCTATTCACAGATATAGTCAGTTATCGATAGATGTGAATTCGTCCTTTGAGGCAGAAAAAGTTTTAAATATCCCTCCTTCAGGTCGGGAAACTCCAAAATCTGAAACGAACACTGGGCAAATTAGCGAAAGAGACAAAGAAAAAATCAAAGAGGTCTCCAAATGGTTGGACACAATAACGCCAGAAGTCAACGCTTTGTCACATTGTTCAAACTCGGCCAAAAGCACCAAATCTATTTTAGAAAATCTGATGTCAGATTTTGACGCCAAAGATATCGAAATTGACTGGTTACCAGAATCAGATGAAAGTGCTTCGGAGGTACGTGAGCGCTTCGCCGCTCTGAGGAAGATTGTCCGCAACAAGGAATTAGAAATCTCAGCTTTCTTTGCTCAAAAACAATTACTATCCGAGCTTGAAATCTTGGAGAGATTAGCCAATGAAACGAGCGAATGGATAAACGCGCAAGAGCCAATAGGAATTGAGCAAGGAAAAATTAAATTTCAACTTGACCAATGCCAAGGAAAGTACTGGGAAGTCCAGAAACATCGAGTGAAGCTGGATAATTTGGAGGAAAATGATCTGGATAGTCTGGAACAGAACAAAGAGTTTTTGGATCCGCTGACTTTCAAATCCATTTATTCGAGGCTGAAACATTTGAAAAGCAGTTTCGACAAAAGTATGCTGTGGCTGGAAAATCGAGACAAACGGTTAACGGTGTCGTTGGATAACACGCCGCCTCAAAAGTACTCGGATTCTCTCTCGGATCTGACGTCATTTTTAGCCGAGCTGAAAACGAAAGTGGAGTCAATGGGATCACATGTTGTGTGTGATATAAATGTGATGGAGGAAAATTTGCAGACGTGTAAAGGCTTAAAACGCAAAGCAGTTGAACTTGGCGTCGCTTACGATTATGTCAAAACTAGTTTTAAAGAAATTGCCCAAAGATGCACGGACCATTCGAAAGGAGAGTTCTTGAAAAGTCAGAATAGCGAAGTTTGCGATAAATGGGTTCGCTATACTAAGAAAATCGACGACAAAACAGCTCATATTGAAAAATGGCTGAAGGTTTTCAAAAAGTTCAACGAGGAAGTCAGCGGACTTAATACGTGGATGGATCAAGTTTACATGTTTTTGCATTCAGAGGAGGCTGCCCTTGGTGATGTTGCAACAGTTACGGCACAGTTTGAACAGAGCAAAGCTTTAGAAGAAGATATTTCAACAATCAAGCCAAATTTAGTGACCATTTTGGAAATCGGCCAGCAATTGATTGATCGATCTGCGCCAAAATATGGGCGAAAACTGAGAAGTTCGCTGGACACTTTGCAGAAAAAATGGGACAAAACTGTTAAGTTGACAAAACAACAAACAGCAATGCTAGAAGTTGCTCTTGACAAAAGTAAAACCCTGGACGACTCTTTAAACCAGTTAAGAGCCGTCTTGGAAGACATAAGAAGCAGCCAAGTTTCGTTGGAGAATTTTGAAGTGAAAACATTAGACCAGATTCCACGTCAAATTGAGCAGTACTCGAAAATACAGGAAACAGTTAGAAAGCAAGAGCATCTTGTTAAGAAAATCGAATCAGTTTATAATGAAATTGTGAAACAAGATTTGATGGATGGACTTGATGAGTTAATGACACGTGTTAATACAGTCAACGATGCCTGGTCTGCGATTAAAAAACACGTCGACCAAAGTTTGGATAATTTGTCTCTAGCCAGTGAAAATTTTGCACTCTTGAAGAGCAAAGTTGAAAAGCGAAGTGAGTGGTTGCTAGAAGTAGAGAAGGTTCTAGAACGAACGCCGAAGTTAGTAGTGGGCGATGCGGAGGATCTTTCAGAGCAACTGGATTGTCTGGACAGAATCTTAGACCAGGAACCGGAACCAATTGACGAAATCAATGAACTGGCAACGAAGTTGAAAGAATCGGCGATTTTAGTAGTTGAAGTCAAAGAATTGGCAGATAAAGTTGAAAATTTGACTACTTCGATAGAAGTTCCAGCGAAGGAATTAAAACTGACAATGCAAACGAATTTGAAGAACGTTCAAAATATTCAAAGTGATATTATCGAAACTCAAACGTGGATTTCAGAGACGGATAAAATCATCCATGATTACATCGAGGAAGACATTTTCTCAGAAAAAGTTCCAGATGAATTTTCCAAAATCGAAGAAGAGATGGAACATTTTCAGCAGAAGATTAAAGATATCAACCAGCAATTTACCCAGATGACCTTGAACTCCTCTGACAGAATCCAGCAACAACTGAACCTCCTAGAACAAGACATGGCGAAGTTAGAGGTGAAATTTGTGAAGTTCCAAAAACCAGCCTCGTTCGAAGAAAAACGCGAAGAAGTTCTGACTAAATTATCGAGTGTTGCTCAGACTTTAGAGTCTGCTGAAATTAAAGACTGGAACGAGGAGTACCTCCAAATGTATCTAGATGACCATGAAAGACTTTACACGGAATTGAGTAGTCTGAAGCCAGAGGTCGAATTCGTTCTCAAAACCGGATATAGTATCATCGAATTGAGTCAAACTGAAGATCCAGATAAGCTGGACGGCAGTTTGTGTGAAATAAAAAACCAGTTTAATGAATTGGGCGCGCAAGTAACAGCGGGAAAGGGGATGTTTGAAAGCGCTGTTAAGTATTCGAGAAGGATTTCGGCGAATTATATTGAGCTGACGGATTGGATTGACCAAACTGAAAAACAGCTTCAAACTGATTCTCTGAATTCTCAGGTTGAGGACCTTCTGTATGATTTACAACTTCACGAACGAGAAATGAAGAATCTGTTACATGATACAGACGAGCTGTTGGATTTGGCAGAACCACACCCACTCCCATCTTTGGAACAGATGGTGGAATCGGCTAACCAACAGTTCAAAACACTGGCTCATAAAATAGCAGACCACGTGAATAAAACAGTTCAGAACGAAGATAAAGCGAATTCGCAGCCTGTTAAAAGTGTATCGCAGAAACCAAATACGAGTACAAGTGCTGAGACGAGCAAAGTGCCTAAAGCGACTAAACCGAAAGCAGTTTCGAACTCGGAAAATATTCCGGAGTCAGTTGCTACTGATACTTCTACGTGGTATGGCCTCGTTAATATAATTCGAAAGTGGTTAATAATTGCCGACAGAGACTTATACGAGATCGAAACCGCGAGCGAACCGAAAGACGACGAGACGAAAGCGGGTTACGATCGACTGAAGAAAGAGTTGAAAGAGCAAGAGGTCAAGAAAAGAGGTTTGAAAGCAATGGCAGCCGAAGCGAAAGCTGCGGGAGACACGCGAATAGACGAAGAAATCAAATGTTTCAACAGTCAGTTTAACAATGTCAGTTTGCGAATTCACACGGCGAAAGAGACCGTTACAAAAATACCGTTTGTAAGTCGAACTCTGGGACCTTTCGATGGCAACTCGGAACCGGAAGTTTCTGAGCCAGTGAGTGAAAAACCAACAGAATCATCGCCAGTAGAAACAAAACCGGAATCGAAATCCGAATCGAGTGACGAAAAATCTACGGCCAGAGCCGACTTTGTTCCGAATGCAATGGCGTTAGCTCAAGAACATCTGGAATTAGAACAAGAGTTGAAAAGTTTGAAAATGGTTGTCGACGAAATTAGCCAGTGTTGTAAAATAATTTTGAGTGAAGATGAAAACACCAGTTTCGGAAGTTGCAGCAGTAGTAGCAGCGCTGAGGAGTTGGACATGGCACGACAGGAAATTTCGATTAAAAATTTAGAAAAATTGGAAAAACTTTTCTCCAATTCCGAGCACCGTTTCAAGGAGCTTTTTGTCCGAGGATCAAAAGTTGTGAGTCGCATGAGTAGAAGTAATTTTTCGAAAAGCAGAAGTATGCAAGAGAAACTCGAGTCATTCAAGGGCGAATGGGACTCGGTCAAGAAGCAGAAAAACTTAGTGATCGAGAAACAGTGGTATGCTTTCAAACGTGAAATCCAACATTTTGAGATTTTTCTGTTCGAGCTTGAGCGAAAAACGAAACAAACAAAAGGAAATTTGCCAAAATTGAAAATAATATATCCAGATTTTATTCACCTGAAGCAAGATTTTGCAGCTATTAATTTCAGAACACGTGACTTGTTCGCCCACGGAGGTTCAAAGGAAGGCGAACTTTTGCTGAGTAAATTGACAGAAAAGTGGAAATACGTTGAATCTTATTTCGAATGGTTTGATCCACAACAGAGCTACCAAACAGACGAGCAAAGCGGTGCAAGTGTCTCGAGTAATAAAAACTCGGTGAAAGAGTTCATGGTCGAAGCTTACCCGATCATGATTTCAATAAACGAAACCAACACCGATCTAAAATCAACTGATTTGTTCTTATCCAATGAAAGCAACTTGTCAAATTTGGTGTCACAGTTAGAAGTGTTGGAAGCAAAACTATCTGCAATTGATTCGGAAATCAAAAATTTGGAACTCGTGTCGCGAGGATACGGCGAAGGCTCAAACTCAGAGTTCGAAGCTCGTGAAATCGAGCGAGTTTTCACTCGACTCAAGTTGGACTATTCGCAGTCGAAGAAACGATTTGATATGAAGAAAGATCAATTTGCGCATTGTGTTACTGAAGTTCAAGTTCTTTCTGATTTCTTGAAAGTGTTGACAGCCTGGGCAACAAAAACGGAAGCCATGTTTTCAAATACGAGACTTCCTTCGGGTAAATTGAATCTGCAGCGGGCTCAGATAGAACAGCCAGTTTTGGAAAGTGAGCTTAAGACAAACGCTCAGGTTTTTGAGTCACTCAAAACTCGATACACAGACTTAACTCAAATGAGCGCGTCTTTAGATACAACTTTCTTGAACGAAAAAATTGAAGCGTTCGAGAGACGCTGGAAAGTTATCGCCGATGAAATAAATAATCGCAAAACGTACATGAAAGATTTTCAACCTACGGTTGAAAAATTCTTGAGAGAGATTGATTCAATTTTAGCATGGGTAAATAAAGCCAATGATTTTTTGGCACAACAGCCTGGAAATTCGGAAATCGATCAATTACTAGCCCACCATGAAGAGCTCAAAAGTCATATTAAGGAGCTAGAAAACATAAATGACCGAATCCAAGATATCAACGAAATGGGAAAAGAATTGACAGCTAGCAGTCCTGCAGATTTGGAGTTGATTGAGTGCAAATTACGTGAACTGAATCCGCGATATGTGAACATTTCACACGCGGTGCTGAGGTCAAGCCATGAGATCGACTCGCTACTTCGACTAACAAGAGAATATACAGATGCCTTGAGTGAACTAGAACAATGGATTCCTGTAGCGAAATCTACACTTGATGATCCGGCGCTGGTATCTGACTTTAGCGCCATGTCTAATTTGAAAAATGTTTTGACAGAGAAAACTAACTTGGTCAACGTCATCAAAAGTTATGACAACGTTCAAGATCTGAAGTGTTTCGAGGAGCGAGCGGCGAAGGTGTTGCACGATGTTGCTGAAATAACGCATAGAATTACGAACAGCCAGCCTTCGAATATTGAACTGCAAAGTATTTTGAGGCAGTCAAAGTTACGAGAACTTGACAGAGAAGCGGTTATTCAATCTGGTCATGATCAATTTGATTCTACGATTGAAGAAATAAGAGATTGGTTGATAATTTTGAAGCATTTACTCAAATCGGAAATGGTGACAGTTGGAGACGTTAACCACATTAAAAACTTGATTAGCAGACAAAAACAGATTCTGAACGACCCAGGAATGACGAGTTCCGAGGAAATTATGAACGATCCAGGGTTCGCTGGCGACGAAAGCGACGAGTTGACCAAGTGTCTTTTCGGAATACAAAACGGCCTCCAGTTTGTCCAGGGATACCTGCTAAATTTGCACGACGGTCCGGGAACTGCCGAAGCCAATGAAGACGATTCAAAGATATCGATTCTTTCTAGGTTGGAATCCATCAAAAAAGACTGGGAAGAATGCCGTGAACAAGTTGTGGATCGATGTCGACATCTCGAAATCTTACTTCAGGCTTCGGAAACTTTCCTGAACATCTACGATAATTGCAGAAATGATTTGTGCAATACAGAGTACAAACTGACTCATTTTGGAGACATTGGTTACAGTTCGAATGTTTTGAAGAGACAAATCTCGACGCAAAAAGTTCTGAAAGACGAGATAAAAGTATTACGCAAGAGCGTGGAAGCTCTAGTTCGGCTAGCCAATAAAATCATATCCGATTTCAGTCAAGATAACACGACACGAGTTCGAGAAATGAGAGATTCCATTTATAGCAACTGGAAACGAGTCATGAAAATTTCGGACGAATTAGACGGAGAGTTGAGAAGAAACATGCATGAGATTGACAATTTGACCAGAAACGCGAATGATTTGCTTTATTGGATGCAAGAAATTGAACTGCAAATCGAAGTTTTGGCGCTTGAAGTTTCGACCAATGATTTAATTGAAAATGAAGCACAGTATTTTCAGTGGCAAGTTCAATGTAAGGAGTTTCAACTTGAAATTGCGAATCATCGGGGTCTATGGCATTCAGTCGAAAGTGCTTGTCACAAAGGTCTGAAATCTCTCAAACCAGGAGAAGAGTTTGATATTTCTGTTCCATTTTTAGACGAATTAACAGTCAAGTGGAATTCGATTAAACAGAAAGTTAAGCAAATCAGACAGAAATTGAATATTAACATGGAACATTGTAAACAGTTGATCGGCGCGCTAGTTAGTCTTAACACATGGGTAGAGCAGTATCTGAAAGAGACAAACGAAAAATCAGCGTCGCAATGCGGATCTTTAAGCGAAGTTGAAGCTTTGTATGACAAATTCATCATAGATAGAGGACAGATTAGTAAAAAGCAGAAAATGATTGAAGCTAACATTGATCTTGGAAGGCAATACGTGTTGGAATTGGAAGATACTTTTGCACGTGTTTCTGCTGACCTTGAACTTTATTCGGAACGACGAGGAAGTATTGTAAGCGTTGCAAGCGAAGACTCGCCCGAGTCCGTAAAGGAAGTCGTGAACAACATAAACTCTTTGATCAACAAGTTGAACGCAAATTGGGAAGAGCTGGCTAAAAAGTTGGAATCGAAAGGAAAAGAGATCACGGAAACTATGAAAAGATACCAAGTGTTTACCACTTCGTTAAATAACTTGTTCAGAAAAGTTCACGAGGCTGATAATTTGAGATATCGTTGGGTTAATGTGGAAACGATAACAGTTGAAGGCGTTCCAGAAGAACTAGAAATCATCAAGAATTTCGAAAGTCACCTCAAGGCCCTGAAAGAAACACTTGACGCTCTAAATGCAGATTCAAAGAAGCTAAACGTTGCAGTTGAAGAGAAAAAACGCGTGTCAACTTGCTCGACTAAGTGGAACGAAGTTCATACATCAACAGAACAGAGGAAAAATAAACTAAAAAAGCTCCTAAATGAATATGGACCAAATTCGCAGTCTCACTTAGCCAATTCCGTTTCAGCGCCTTGGGAGCGAACCGTCGCCCCAAATAAAGTCCCCTTTTATATTAACCACAAGACCGAATCGACACAATGGGATCATCCAAAGTACTCTGATTTTATGGACAGTTTAGCCGAATTGAACAGCGTGAGATTTTCGGCTTACAGAACGGCTATGAAGTTAATGAAACTAGAGACGTTTCTTAATTTTGAAACAATTGACTTACAGCAAGTTCAAGCTGCTCTTGACAAGCAGGATTTCAAGAAACAAGATTCTGGATCTTTCATCGACGTTGCAGATGTCATAAATTGTCTCAATTCTTTATTCCAACCTGTCGTAACGAAGAAAAAGAATCAGGTCAAGTTATCCTTTTTAGTGGATTTGACGCTTAATTTCATCCTAAACGTGTTCGACGCCCCCAGAAACGGAAAGATTCGAATACTTTCTCTGAAGACAGCTCTGGCTACCTTATGCCGGTGTGGATTAGAGGATAAATATAAGTTTTTGTTCAAACTTATGTGCTCAAATGCTGCAGCTGCATCGTGCAGTAGTGCTGACCTTGGAAGATTGATTCACGACATTATGCAAATTCCGAAACAGTTGGGAGAAATCGCCTCGTTTGGTGGGAGTAACATCGAGCCCAGTGTTAAAAGTTGTCTGTCGCTGAGTCAGAACAAAAGCAGCATCGACCTGAACACTTTTCTGGAATGGATGAAGTGCGAGCCCCAGAGTCTGGTTTGGCTGCCAGTACTGTTTAGAATGCAAAACGCAGAGGTAGCGAGACATCAAGCGAAGTGCAACATCTGTAAGGCGTTTCCGATCACTGGATTCAGATACAGATGCCTGAAGTGTTTTAACTTTGACATGTGTCAGAATTGTTTCCTGGCGGGGAAGTCCCACAAGAGTCACAAGCTGAGTCACCCGATGCAGGAGTACTGCTCGGCTTGTAACACGAGCGAAGACGTCAAAGCGTTCGCCAAAGTCTTCAAAAACAGGTTTTTTCATTTGTTCTGATTTAGAATTGTTAAATTTGCGCGGAATTTCAAAACCATGCCCGTTGCCAAAGTATTGGGTGTCAAATGGTATGATGTTTTAATGTTTGAGGAGAGCTCAGATCTTAATTTTCAAGGCTAAATTTTTGATTATCAGCACAAAAATAGCCTGAATGTGCAAGTATAGGTTATAATCAGGTAAAAAAACATCATTTTTCAGCTTAGAGCTAAACATTGTTTGTTGGTATTTGCCTTTTGGGTGAAAAATTTGAACCCTAAAATAATATAGTTGGGCTATATATGTGATAAGTAAGATTTCATGAAAGTCATTTTTTTTAGCACGATAATTATATTTTAAAGTTTTTTCTTATTCGTTCAAGCATCATTTCTGATCATTTTCTGATCTAAACACGTCATGTCCAAATGTGTTTAGATTCTCAGGGAAGAAAGTAAGAAAGCGTGGAAGCAAGTTAGGATATCTCCCGGTCCAAACTGTGAAAGAGGGACGCAACCTGGAAACGCCCAATCAGAACAACCAAAACTTCTACCTAGCCTCAGACGGGGGCAAAGGTCAGCACGGAGACTACCCAGTGGATGACCTCTACGCCTCGGGAACCGGCAACAAGTCAAACGGGTTTGAAGGTCGCAGTTACTCTTCCATGTCCAATTTCAGTCAACCCTCGTCATCAATGGGAGCCTTTTACGCTGGCGCTTCTGGACAACATATGGAAGAACCAGTCAGTCCTCAGCAGCTGATAGTATCCATGGACAAGCAGGAGCAATGTGAATTGGAAGAATTAATTACGGCTTTAGAAGAGGAAAACAAAGGCCTGCTTAAGCAGTACGAAGACGTCAAACAAGAAAGTTACGAGATCAATTCGTCAATTATGAATAGGCAGTCACTACATGGCAATACTGGATTCCCACATTCTTATAGCTTGTTAAATGCGAACGCTCAATTTGCTAGTGGCGGAGGTGTCTTGACACCTACTGAACGCGGAGATTCCCAATCGTTATCATCAAGCGCCGCAATCCACGAAACGCAGCAGTTGTACGCGGACAAATTTAAACTAGAAAACAGAATGCGACTTCTAGAAGATCAAAATAAGCAACTAGAAGCGCAATTGGAGCGACTGAAAAAACTGCTAGCGCATCCGGCTACCTCTCAAACGCAGAGTCCGCCGACTAATCCACCCCAAGCAAATCATCGATCCAGAAGCAATACTGGGAAGAGCTCGCTCAACCAGTCCTTGAACCAACCAGGAGGTACTGGAAATGCGGAACCGGCATTTCATTCCTGCATGGACTCAACATGTTCGCCTTCTTCCTCATTTCAGTCTCTGAACAGCGACAAAAACAGTCTCTCTATCAATCACAACTCGACCATAAGATTCAACACAGTTCCTCCGGCACCTCAGCAAGGTCAAATGATAGGAACGAGGAGTCATTTTAACAGCAATAGTAGGCCTATGACGACGACGCCGTCTCAAGGTGAAATTGAGCAATCGAGAGAGATAATACACAACAATAGTGGTCAACAAAATCAACTCACGGCAATGTTAACGCAATCGAACTCGAGAACCCCAACCCAAAGTCCCTTCTAACAAATCAAATGACGTTGGTACCCAAACAGAATTTTGTATTCGTTCATAGAATCCGAGTTTCAATTTGGTCACAAGTAGATGCGGATTCTTTCATTGTCTCATTGAAGAATAATATTGTCATAATTCAGTAATCAAATAGAAAACTGAAAACTGAGATAGATTTAGAAATTTCAAATTTCGCAATAGATTTTCACGGAATTATAAATGATTTACTTAATACTGGGTTTTAGAGATAACATATTTGAATAAATTTGAATATTTGCCTTTTTCTTTTTTGGAAGGATTCACAAAGTTAAGGGTTCAAGACTCTGTTGTGTGATTGAAAGAAATGTTGATAAAAAGCGAAATATCATTCAAAATGATTAAGCTCTATCATTAATCGCGGTTTTTTTTATTTCGGTTTTTCTTTTATTTTATGTATTTCGCGGTTTCCTAGGAAGGGGGGTGCGTTCCAAAAAGCTCTTTAGGTTTGAAACGAAGTATAATAGTAATTCAGAACACTAAGTCGAATTAATATCTAACACAAAGTAGAATAATAAGTCACACTATAATCGACAAGTGATAATCATCTTACTAAAAAAATTGTAATATAGTTGTATTTGAATAGGAAGAGCGGCTTTAAAAAAGTTAACATCTGTCAAATTTTTTTCCCTCAGTCTAGTCCGTCGAAACATTAATAGCAAACCTGAACCTAGATACTACTGAGGTTGTATCAAGACTTACTAAAAAAACCGAAAAATTTCTATGCAGAGAAAATTTCGTCCATCCGGAATATCATCAAAACTTGAATGAGATTCTCTGGAGTCGAATAAGTATTAACTACAGTGAAATCTCATCTGTAGTGCCTTAATTTTTTTCATCTGAAATTTAGTAGGTGTGCAAAATTGAGTTTCCATTTTGCTTAATAAGTAGCTGCTGTTACTTTTCCTCCAAAAACTAACAACAGTTTAGACAGTTAAATTGGAGATAAAAGTTTGATAATGCTATCTGCTTAGCTCTTCTTGGGACGTATTGTCCTTGGTGACGTATCGTTATTCACTTACGTTCACCGCAGAAAATTTCCCTTTAGTACTGTGATATAGCGGGGCTTCTAGGACTCAGTACTATCCACAATCCCAAAGGGTTATTTTGGGTGGCCCCATACTACTAATTGTAATTTGCTGCCGACTCTTTAGTGGTGCTCTGTAGGCTGATCTTGAGTCAGTTGATCGAAACTAGCTGAATTGAGCTAGCTGAACTGAAACTAGCTGAATTGATCTAGCTGAATTGAAACTAGCTGATTTGATCAAAACTACCTGAATTGTATAGTTACAGTAAACAGAAGTGTCTTCAGTTCAAGATATCAAAACAATTTAAGGGACCGCGATCTATTTCACAGGATTTCTACTCAAGAGCAATCTCTGTTTTTGCTGGTGGTATGTCAGTAAACCGATGTATCAGCAACCCAAAAAGGGGCAGAACAGATCAATAAACCGAAAATGAAAATATGTGATCAGTATACCGAAAATTGTGCAAAAGGTGTTTAATAAACTGAAAATAAGTTTTTCAAAGTAACAACGTTTTTAAAGTAAAGTTTTAATTAATTTTAATTTGCCAGAAGTTATGCGCAACACTGTTGTAAATTAAGTTACAAAGCTAAGAAATTGAAATATTGTAGTCAATCTGTGGAAAGTTTTTGCTATTCGGTTCCTTGTTGCGTTTATTCAAAACTGAGTTAGTACTAATGTGACTCAACCGTTTACGTAAATGTTGGTAATTGTTACGTAATCGTTTTATAATTCAATTTAGTGATATGGTAATTCAGAGATACATCGATTCACTGACGCTCACCGTTCTTGCTCTCTAGAAATTTAAGCATTCGGAGCCTCCAAGATAATCATACTACTTTTCCACTGCTAACTCTGGTCACTCAGTTCAACTTGGAATGATATCTGAGCTCGACTAGAGCGGCGCTTACGCGCTTAGGGAGAAACCGCTTTATGATTCTGCTTAAGTTAATCCGTTTACGATTATCCGTTTTACAAATTTAATCGACGGTGAAAAGAAATTTAAACTTGAGCCAAAGCATCAATATATTTTAGACGTCAATGAAAACCGTCAAAAATTCCCATCAGAACTCTATACACATGACTTAAGTGAAAAAAAAGCCGCTCCGAGCACAAAATTTGACTAACAAATCATAACAGCGCAAAAACTTGATTTTGTGGGATGTCTTTTTAAGCTGATGATGAAAATTTTTTAATTAAAAATATGTAGAAGCTAATGTGCAATTACTTCAAAAATAAACGTAAAAAAAACTGAAAATCACTTGAAAATAAAAGAAAAATTGACGGATAAGAAAACACTAAAAAAATTTCAGTTTTGTAAGGTTTGTTTTTCATTGAGTCTTCAGTTCGTTAATTAGTTTGAAAGATTTGACGGAGCTAATCTCAACCAAATTGTTAAATGTTTTTGAGGAAAAAAAACGGAATAATTTTGAGGAAATTTAATTAATAGAATATCACACTCCAAGATTTTCCATTTTCTTTTTGTGACACCTTATTTTCAATTTAAAAAAGCATCCTTGATCATAGTATAGTCCCTATCGAGAATGCTCTTTTCCACTTATTTGGTGTTTACAAGTTTCAGTAAGACGAACTAATCGTTAGATGGAACCAACTTTAATAAAAAATGTCAAATACTATTGTTTGTCTTAAATATTTTATCAAAAATATCTTGAGGCATACTAATGATCGTCGTTTTGATTTTCGAGATTTTGTCTCGATCGTTCACGAGAAAAATGTTGATTAAAACTCAAAAGGAAATTTTTTTAATTACTGTTGCTCAACCTTCAAGAGTCATTCACAGAAAGATTGTGATTATGGAGTTTCTCAAAGTAGGGTGTCACAAAAAAAGGTTGCTATGCCAAGATAAGAATTAATGTAATTGCGTTTCACATAACCTGATTGACTGAAAATGCTAGTCGTACAATTTTAATTTTAAAAAAATGCCAAAAATACACTTTTCATGCAATTCCATAAGTACAGAAAATTGCATGGAAGGTCTTTGATTAGTGACTTTTTATAGATGGAAATTGTATGACTAGCATTTTTCATAAACGAAAAACTTGATTTTATTTTTATTTTATATACTTAAAGTTTTTGGGATGAGTTTGTAACCGAACACAAGTGACAAAAACCTTGGTTACACAAAAATACAGTCACCAAAGGCTTAACGGTGTCGCTATTAAAATGCATCGAGACGGCTTGAATTGTCTTAGTTTTGTCTAAACAAATAACATAAGGAAAGTACCAAACTTTTAAATTTTGGAAAAAATTTTCAAAGATAGTTTTTTTTTGAGTTTTGAATTAATCATGCATTGATCAAGGCATACAAAAACATGCCAGACAAAAAATATGCGTTTTGAGCGTTTTTGAAAAAGGGATCTTGAGAATTGGAAAAAAACTTTTATGTATCATGGACTACGTTGAGCGTACGGAAGACTGAGATTACAAAACTAGTACTGCAATTGAAAAAAAAGTTGGAGCAATTTCGATACGTAGAAAAAGTTTTGCTGTCGCCAAAAAAATGCCAGTCATGAAATTTCCATATATGGAAATTGTTTGACTAGCATTTTGTGTTGACAAAAAGTTTTCCTCTTTTACTTATGACGATACACTGATTTTTATGCCAAAACAAGAGAAAAGTTCGTGAAATTTCGAAGACTTCATTTTAGCAAAATGAAAGAATTTGTTTGATTAGTATTTTTTCATAGAATTAGTTTATGGAATTAGCATTTTCGGTCTATGGAGGTCCACCCGGGTGTGTACAACAGGTGTAGTTAATGTACAAACGTGGTACATATGCGGTACCACATATGCAAAAAATGTACTTAAGTAGCATCAATGTACCACATTCAATGTAACTTGTTAACCAATTACCCACCCCTTTTTCCCTATTGGACCTCATTAACTAATTACACTTAAGTATGAACTGTTTTTGACAAACACTTACGTAAAAAGCTGGCATTTTGAAAGTTTCGCCAGTAATTGTGTTTCCATTTTTGTGCGTTCGAGTTTTACTCAATATTCATATGATACATGAATTAGAGGTGCATATACAGAACAGTTCTATACAAAACTGTTCAATTCAAAACAGTTCGAAAAATTATGCAATGAACAAAAAAACAGTCCGATACAAAAGACTCCGGCTTAAGGTCGCCGGTAGGCGCTCTGTGCGCGCGTCGCCGTTTCGCGGTGATAACCGGCTCTGAATTTCGTATTAAGTCCTACCCTCTGTTGGGAAGCTCGCAACACGTTGGCTTGTCTGCGGTGGTCACTATTTTGTTGTTTTTGTTTGTTAAACAAAGGACAATTCTCTGCGTACCGTCTTGGTAAAACAATTATTACTTGGGACGGTTTTGTATTGGACTGTTTTTTCGTTCATTTTCATACTTTCAGGCTGTTTTGTATTGGAATGTTTTGTATTGGTCTGTTTTGTACAGTTGCGGAATTAGGAAGTTGAAGTAGATTCATGCTCTGAAAGTTTTTCAAGCAATTCAAAATGTGGCAACTAAAAACAATTTTCTAAAAATCGAAACAGGGTTTGTGAAGTAATTACAAATATGCAAGTTAATTTTTCAAGAAGGGGCCGGAATCAGAAGAAAAATTAAGATATTGGAAATTCAACAAATTTCACTTAGAGTTTGTTGTGTCTTTTTGATAGAAAAACAACGTCCATTTGTTTCTTTCGCTATCTCATATCTCTATTTTATAGAAGGATAGTTACAAAAAAACGCCAAAAATTTGTTTCGCCATTCCTTTAGAAGGCTTCAGCTGAGTTTTCTTCATAGACCTCGTATACAACAAATTTTTTGGATAGAAGATTTGAAAATGTTTGTGAGAAGAGTACGAATCTAAAAACTAGGCTTTCAAAAAATTTAGATCAAAAGAACTAAACATTTTGCTTACATCTTAGTCAAATATTGTCAGAAAGTTCAGCTTTTTTTACTAGTAAACTGACAATTCCAAAGCAGATTTTTGTTTTACAGCTGATTAATTTTTCCTACTTTATGTGACAGGAAAGTTTAACGAGTGACTTACTCAAATTTTAGACAAAAATTATGTGAAAATTCATAAAATTTTTCCATTTGCTCTCTTTTAAGCGGATAGCATTTCGTTATAAGTCTCCATGAAGGTTCAGATAAGGAAAAGACAAATCCAAGCACAATTTCATGAAATCAAATTTTGATGTGCTAATTTCTTTGGAGTAACGTCATGATTCGCTAGCAAACCAGCATTGACTATCTTTTGACATGTAAAACTCCAGAACTGGATCGAAATCTGTACAGAACTGAATCGGAAACAAAATCAGGCAAAAAGTTTCTGTAATACTTTAGTAATGAATCGCAGGCGGAAAAGGAATTTTTTTCAATAAAATTACCAATTATTCGCAGTTGATAAAGAGAGCAGTAAAGAATGCCTACCTCGTTTTGAATCCGCTTTCTTTTTTTTTGCAAAGAATCGTATAATCTTTGCACAAATTTTATGGAAAGGGAAAAGGAGCAAATTAAATTTGTTTCCCTAGCTTATATTGAACAATCACTGTGATCGTTGAGCCAAACATCACCCTAAGCAAACAAAATCAATCGGCATTTTTCAAAAGTTTTTGCTGTAAATCTGCAAAACTAAGCAAGTCCTTCGTATAAGTCTCAAATAACATTTAAAACAGTTGAAAAACCATTTTTTGCCAAATGAAAACAATTAAATAATTCACAATTGTCAACAATTGATTGGGTTTCTTTTTCATGCGTTCGAATTTGTTTTAGCCTTCAAATGATACACAATTTAATTTTTCTTTGAAATAAAAACCAATTTTGAAAATTAATATATGGTTTGGGAAATTGTTAACAGTGTCTCCGTTAATAATTGAGGGGAAATCAGAGAAAAACAACAATACATGAAACATACTAAATTAAACAAAATTCTTTCGAAAACTGTATGGTTATTTTTACTACAAACTCACTTGGTGCTTAGCTTTTTTTTTGCTCGAATATGAATCATGTAAAGAATGGTTGTTTCACTAAACGCAAATTGTTTGCAATACCGACCGAAGGTATAAGTTCTTAATTATTAAATGCGTACTTTTTTTCTGTAGCCACATGACAAAACCTTTAATCTTGAAAACTTTTTAAATTCTAATCTTTGATTAGACAAAAAACTCATCTTTTAATCGGACAACAAACTCATTTATATATTGATATCAGCAATTCAAAAGATCAATCACAACTTCATAAAATCTCTTTTTGTTCAAATTTAAAATAAGTTTTTAAGCATTCGTCTCACAGTTTACACCAGTACTGATTAAGCTTTGACAAGCCAAATCTCAGAACTGACTCGGGCTCACCACAATACCACTTACACTTAGTTAGAGATAAAATAGGGAAAAGTAACACAATACTCTTTTATTACTGAATAGTAACTAGACAAAAAAATTTTCTTCAAAACCAGAGATAAAGATGCTTAATCCGTTTCGATTCTGTCGCGCTTAGTTCTTACATTACTCAGGCAAAGAAAAATTTAAACCTAGCACAAAATTTATGTGAAATGAAAAGGAGTTTTTTCTAAATTTTTTCTTAGCCAAAACTTACAATCATTGATAAAAACCGAAAAACTGACTATTCAATGGTTGCGCACTGTATCATGTAAATTTAGTTTGAATCTACAGTCAAGAGACATAGAAGTTACAATTTTTAGTTTTCAAACAGTGCAGTGGACAATTTTTGTCTATTTTTTAAACTTCTTCAACTTCCAAACTTCCTGATTGAAATTTTGATACATAATAGATGAAGCTGTTGATTAAAGTATAGACACATATAAAACGCTGAAAAAAAGTTTTCAAGGCGTTGTTAGACTATTCAATTTGAAGACGGCAGAGAGGTGTTTCTCAAGACGCAAATCTCCGCAAACAACCACAACCGTTAAATGTTTCGGATATAAAATTGTATTTTTGAACGCTACGTTCTACGCGAGGCCTTCATATAGCTTTCATTTCACATAAAAAGACCCATGCAAAGAACCGCGCAGTCTTACTTCAAATATTATGGAAATTGAAAAGGTGTAAATTTTTATTTGTTTCCCTAGCTTACGTTGAACAATCACTGTGTTCTTAGAGCCAAACACGCCATAAAATCTGATAATGGTTTGAAGTTTAGTATTTTAGAGTGTTCGTTAGAAAGCTATAGTTCTAAGCCAGATCTCATATCACAATGAAAGAAACCAAAATTTTATTTGTATCTTAATCAGGTTAAAAACTCAATCAGAAATTCCGCTTGTTAATCAATTAAATGACAATTTCTGAGTTCATTTTTCCTTTGCAGCTCAGAAGTTTTTAGTTTTAATTTTTATGTGAGCAGAAACTTATAGGAGTGCAATTCTTAGCTTACGCGTGAACATTGTGTTTCTGTAGTCACATGACAAAATGACAAAACTTTGACTCTTAAAATTTTTTTATATTACACTCTTTTGATGGGATAACGTACGCATTTGCCGATCTATAAATGTTCAGAAAAGCAACTCGTAAGTTAAATCACAACTTCTTAACATCAAAGCTTACTTTTCTTTTTTTCTTTGAAGTAACGCCATGATCGGAAAAGGCTTATTTTTTTCTATGTGTCAAATACATTGTGATTTTTTGTGTTCTTTTTACAGTGCAATCCAGAATTGATTACGTTTTGAGAAGTAAATAGCAAAAGTTAAATCAAAATCTTTATTTTGGTAAGAAAAAGTTTCAGGAAAAATTTTCAGTACTGTCTTAGTTTTGAATGGCAGCTGTACAAGGGTTGATGGCAGCTGAACAACTTTTTTGAAACAAGCTTAGTTTGAATGGCAGCTGTACAAGTTTTTGACAAACCAAAGAAAATTCGCACTCGATAAATTGAGTGGTATGGGATGCCTAGTTTCGAACCTGCTGTGTTTAGTTTCTACTCTAACCAGGCAAGGAAGCGTATAATCTTGGCACTAATTTTACAAAAATGAAAAAAGAGCATTTCCTAAACTGTTCCCCTGGTTTATCTTAAGCAATCGCTGTTGAAGCCTGACTCTTCATTGGTTGAGCACTGTATAAATAGTTCTTATTTTGAATCTACAGAGAAAAGACAGAAGTTGCAACTTTCATTTTTCAAACATTTCAGATAAAGCTTGGGCCATTTTCTCGAACTCCTCATTTACTAAAAATTGCGATTAAGTTTTTGATAGGTGATGGACAAAGCTGCTGATTTGTGTATAGTCACATTAAAAACCTAAAATTTTGTTTTCAATACGTTGCTTGGCCATTCAATTTGAAAGCGTCAGCGGGGTGTTCAATTTCACCAAAATTTTTTTTATCGATTAAACTAGTAATGAGTGGTAGCTAGACCCGGGTTAATTTAAAATGCAAACTCAGAGGTAATTTTTATTTAACCCATTGAGCAGTAAGTGATGCTTAATTGATTTTGAAACCATTGTGTTTAGTTTTTATACTACCCAGGAAAAAAGGGTATAATCTTAGCACAAGTCCTATGAAAAAAGAAAAAGAATTTTTCATTTATTGTTTTTCTAGCTTAGGTTAAAAATCACTGATAAAAAGTGACTTTTCTATGTTTGAGCATTTACATGAAAAATTTTTGTATTTATTCTGATTTTAAAGTGAAGAGATATAGAGGCTGAAATTTTAATTTTTCAATTAACGAAATGAACATTTTGGCCATTTTTCTACAACCACTAAAAATCACAATTGAATCTTTGATAGGTGGTTTAAAAAGTTGGTTAGAGTATAGTCACATAAAAAAAGTAATTAAAGTTCTAGTGTTAAATTCCAAAAGACTCTTGCCTATCCAATAGACCCTAAACGTTTTCTAGAGACGCCTTTGGCGCCAATATATACTAGTTTTGAGGAAAGAGGCGCGCGCGCCGAAAAACGCTATTTTTTGGTCAAAATTTTTTGGTCAAAAAACGCTATTTGTTGGTCAACGACTTTTTTGTCTTTTTTTCTGAAAAAAGCGACAAAACAGTTTCTTTATAGTATTTTCGTAGAGCTCGGAAAATCAACAAATTGATCTAAGAAAAGGTCATGAACGTTTGCAATTTTTTTAAACAACCGAACCCCCAACCCCCCCCCCCCCCCCCCTCCGCCCGGGAAAAAAAGCATATGTCTTTTTTATTTATTTTTATTTACTTTTTTGGCCCAAACTCATTTATGCGCGTCAATTCAAACCGATTTCATTGTAAACTCTGTATTTAAACTGCAGGTTCATTTTAATCCAGGCCAGTCTAAGCTCTGAACTAAACTGATTGCAAAACAGACTTCTGCAAAACCTCCTAGACCGAGTTTCCTAAATTCCCTGCAAAATTCTTTTACAACCCGCTGTAGCTTCAGATCATGGAGTAAACATTTCTCTGAAATGCCCCTGTGTCATAAAACCCCTGTAAATAGTGCGGGTATAATAAATACAAGTTTCATTGAAGAAATGCTCGCCTAACTGTTGGCTAACACCCAGTAAAATATGTTATCTAAGATCTGATTCCGCAGTTTCCCCGAATGCGTAAAAGCGGTTTCCTAAATATTTACGCTCGATTTGAAATGAGTTTATGCCTAATTTGACATTGTTAACTTAATGATTGACTTGCTTGAAGCCCTTGCTATCATTCCTATTTTTTTTTTTTGTAGAGAAAACTCTCATAAGACGAATAATTCCAACAAAAGTTACCACGGAAGTTTTGAAAAGCTTTTTGAATTTATTGAAGCAATCGAAAATTACAATGATTGAAACTTGCAATTAAGCTTGATAAATTCGTTTAGTAAATTCGCTTCCTAATTGTCAACGACACGTAAGTTTTTTTTGCATTCCCGAGTCTGTACTCATACACTATTATGGCTTACCATACAATTCGAAAATGCGAATTCAATTGAAATTTTTTTTTTCATCAGATTCCATAAAGTTGTACAATTTACTTAGAAAATAACAACAGCAGTTCGTATGTAGCAGCTTTATCACTGTAAAATAAATTGGAATAATTGTTATAATTTTGTGTCAGTATTCATATATTGGTTTATCTGGGAATCTGCAGGATTTTTACAAAGGTTAAAGCAGTATGATATAACTGATGAATATTGTTGTTCCGACTTTCGATACGAAAGTAACGGAACATTTGTGCTCGGGGTGGGTTTTTTTTCTTCAGACAAATTTCGACTTTTTAACTAGCCATTTTTGACGGAAATTTTTTAAATCATTCAAAAGGTATTGTTGTCTTAAGTGAGCTTAAATTTGAAAAGATATTTGACCTGTGATCATTTTTCGTAAAGTTATGAGGGTTCAAAGGTTGCCATTTTGACCAATTTGGGACAATTAACGCCGCTATAATTCGAGCTAATAAGGCGTAAGCGGAGATTTAATCCGTCTTCGAAATCATTCCAAATTGGTTGAAAGAAGCTTATTTGCCGTAATTGGTTTGTTTCAAGGAACGAAATCTATCCTTTTGTACTTTATATGGCGTGTGGGGGATGATTTTCATTTAAAAAAAATCAAATTAAAAAAAAATCATTTTATTTTATTCCAATAAATTTTTAAATGGGCAGTCGGAATATTCAGGGCTTCCACAAAAAAACATCTGAACGACATGATTCCCTACACAATTTAAAAAAAAATTTTTTTTTGAACTTTTTGTCTTGAAAGGGAAAGTTATTGGGTTTTAAAAAATGCCATTTTATTTATAATGGGACCATTAGCGTGCAATGTATTTCGTTCTATCACAAGTGAGCTGCAAAAAATTTTTCTCAAAACGATTCGTACTCAAATTAGGCTGATAATTGTTCCCAGATAAAAAGAAATGTCAGAAAGACTTGTCGAAAATAAGACTTTTTATGCAGCGCAAAGATGTGAGAAAATTTGAACCTCGGATAAACCATTCTTTTGAATTAGAAATTCATCTTAAATTAAAACAGCTTCAACAGTTGTTAGGGTTGACTTCAATTTTTGAGTGTGGTTACATTTTTTTTGGAAAAAAAACAAACCTGCCGACCGAAAAGCATCTAGAGATCCCTCATAGCTCATTTGTAAAATATTTAAAGTTAAAATGTATTCAAAAACAATGCAAAACTGTTTTTTTTTCTGTATTCACCCTATGAAAACTTACTTCCATAGTCAAACCGTTTTCATGATTTTTATACAATTAAAATACCATCTTCCCACTTTTTACTGCTTTATCAGCAATGAACAGAATGTTTTACTGCAGTATTTTTCTTCGTAGCAAGAAAGACAAAGCCATAAATGAATAAATATATTTAGCATTCCCAAAAAGAATTCACATCACAATAAATATGCTCACATCAATGCAAATTCCAGATCGTTCCGTGTGTTTTTTGACTAACTTGAAAAAAAAAACGAGCAATACATTTTTATTAAATTTAAATATTTGATGAAAGTTTGAAGAAACGAACAAAAGAAGTTTTTTTTTCAGGCTTCTTTCTGAACATTTTTCCGCTGCACGCAACACAAGAAAAAGACATATTCAGCGTCTATTAACTTATTAATATGATCAAATAACTTGACTCAAATCAATTGGCAATGCTCTCTGAGCTGGATTGCTTGCCGTTCAAGTTTTACTGCGCTCTATTTGTCCCAAATTGATCAACTGGCAATTTTCAAAAACCTTAACCTTACAAAACATCAGTTGTGGAGTACAAATGTTTAAGCTCAGATTGTAAAATCATTTCAAGTGTTATGATAACTTCATTTGAAAGATGTAGACTGGAAACACGATATTTGACAGAAAAAACAACCACACCAAGCACAACATTTTCATCACTTTCTCTGTAGGAATGAAAAATTTTTTAGAAAAATTTAAAAGCGATTATTTCACGCATGAAATTTCAGGACGACCAGTCTGTTTTGCCTTTCTCCAAAAAAATTTAAAAAATACAAATTTTTAATGATTATGAATAGTTTTTGTGTTTAAGCAGGCCTCGAGGTTTCGGTCAACTAATTATTATATAATTGAAACAAAAAAAATCAATTTAGTTGTTACCGAAAAGCATCTAGAGATCCCTCATAGCTCATTTGTAAAATATTTAAAGTTAAAATGTATTCAAAAACAATGCAAAACTGTTTTTTTTTCTGTATTCACCCTATGAAAACTTACTTCCATAGTCAAACCGTTTTCATGATATTTATACAATTAAAATACCATCTTCCCACTTTTTACTGCTTTATCAGCAATGAACAGAATGTTTTACTGCAGTATTTTTCTTCGTAGCAAGAAAGACAAAGCCATAAATGAATAAATATATTTAGCATTCCCAAAAAGAATTCACATCACAATAAATATGCTCACATCAATGGAAATTCCAGATCGTTCCGTGTGTTTTTTGACTAACTTGAAAAAAAAAACGAGCAATATATTTTTATTAAATTTAAATATTTGATGAAAGTTTGAAGAAACGAACAAAAGAAGTTTTTTTTTCAGGCTTCTTTCTGAACATTTTTCCGCTGCACGCAACACAAAAAAAAAGACATATTCAGCGTCTATTAACTTATTAATATGATTAAATAACTTGACTCAAATCAATTGGCAATGCTCTCTGAGCTGGATTGCTTGCCGTTCAAGTTTTACTGCGCTCTATTTGTCCCAAATTGATCAACTGGCAATTTTCAAAAACCTTAACCTTACAAAACATCAGTTGTGGAGTACAAATGTTTAAGCTCAGATTGTAAAATCATTTCAAGTGTTATGATAATTTCATTTGAAAGATGTAGACTGGAAACAGGATATTTGACAGAAAAAACAACCACACCAAGCACAACATTTTCATCACTTTCTCTGTAGGAATGAAAAATTTTTTAGAAAAATTTAAAAGCGATTATTTCACGCATGAAGTTTCAGGACGACCAGTCTGTTTTGCCTTTCTCCAAAAAAATTTAAAAAAAAAACAAATTTTTAATGATTATGAATAGTTTTTGTGTTTAAGCAGGCCTCGAGGTTTCGGTCAACTAATTATTATATAATTGAAACAAAAAAAAATCAATTTAGTTGTTAACAAGTGGCAATTTTTATATCTCATATATCATTTGCAATTGTATCTGGTAAGATAATTAAAGAATTAGTATCTTCCTTTGTCTTAGCGTAGAAACTAAATGTAAGCTTAAGATGTATGCCTATGATGCGGGCTTTTGATTTTCATAATCATTAATCTGCAAAAACCTCAAATTATATAGACAGTGTTTGAGAGAAAAGTGGTTACATATAGTTTGATTTCCACAAAAAAAGTTCCACAAAAAAGCATATGAACGACGTTGATTCCCTACAACATTTTTAAAAGAAATGTTTCGAACTTTTTGTCCTGAAAGGGAAAGTTATTGGAATTTAAAAAATGCCATTTTATTTATAATGGGACCATTAGCGTGCAATGTATTTCGTTCTATCACAAGTGAGCTGCAAAAAATTTGTCTCAAAACGATTCGTACTCAAATTAGGCTGATAATTGTTCCCAATTTGAAAAACATCTGAAAGTTTTATAGTAACAAGAAATGTCAAAAAGACTTGTCTAAAATAAAACTTTTTATGCAGCGCAAAGATGTGAGAAAATTTAAACCTCGGATAAACCCTTCTTTTGATTTAGAAATTCATCTTAAATTAAAACGGTTTCAATAATGTTAGGGTTGACTTCAATTTTCGAATGTGGTCGCATTTTTTTTGTAAAATATTTAAAGTTAAAATGTATTCAAAAACAATGCAAAACTAATTTTTTTCCATAGTCAAACCGTTTTCATGATATTTGTACAATTAAATTACCATGTTCCCACTTTTTACTGCTTTATCAGCAAGGAACAGATTTTTTTACTGCAGTATTTCTCTTCGTAGCAAGAAAGACAAAGCCATAAATAAATAAAAATATTTAGCATTCCCAAAAAAGAATTCACATCAAAATAAAAAAGCTCACTTCAAAACAAATTCCAGATCGTTCCGTGTGTCTTTTGACTAAATTGAAAAAAAACGAGTAATTTAATTTTATAAAATTTAAAAATTTGATGAAAGTTTCAAGAAACGAATAAAAAGAAATTTTTTTTCAGGCTTCATTTTTTTAAGCTCAGATTGTAAAATCATTTCAAGTGTTATGATAAATTCATTTGAAAGGTGTAGACTGGAAACACGATATTTGAAAGAAAAAAAAGCCACATCAAGCACAACATTTTCATCACTTTCTCTGAAGGAATGAAAAAATTTTTAGAAAAATTTAAAAGCGAATAATTCACGCATGAAATTTCAGGACGACCAGTCTTTTTTGTCTTTCTCCGAAAAAATTTAAAAAAACAAAAATTTTTAATGAGTATGAATGGTTTTTGTTTTTGTGTTTAAGCAGGCCTCGAGGTTTCGGTCAAATAATTATTATATAATTGAAACCAAAAAAATAACAAATTTATTTGTTAACAATTTGCAATTTTTATATCTCATTTATCATGCGCAATTGTATCTGGTAAGAGAATTAAAGAATTAATATCTTCCGTTATTCTTAGCGTAGAAACTAAATGTAAGCTTCAGATATATGCCTATGATTTTCATTATCACAAATCTGCGAAAACCTCAAATCATATAGAACAGTGTTTGAGAGAAAAGTGGTAACATATAGTTTGAGCAAAAACACTTTCTCGTCACGTTTCATAGACAATTTTTATAACCAAAAATCGTTTATAACCCTTCTTTTAAGTTAGAAACTCACTTTAAATTGAGACTGTTCAACAGTTGTTAGGATTGAAATCAATTTTTGAATGTGGTAGCATTTTTTTGAAAAAAAAAACAAATCAGCCGACCGAAAAGCATCTAGAGATCCCTCA